TATGCTCTCCACTCTACAATTCCTGGTAAGTATTATACCCTGCATAGAGTAACAAATAGTAATGTTGAAAATAAATATTATTTAACTAATTGCAGAAAAACGAAAATCCGAAATGCATTCTGACCCCAAACGTAGAAAGAGGCCTGTATGAGGACCAGTGTTAGAAACGACAAAACGAAGCCAATATCACAAAGTTTCGCCGTTTTCACTAAACTGGGACACCCACTCCGACGGCCCCCGGATCCCGGACCACGACGCCACCACCCACAGACCACCCTTAATCGACATAAAGAAAAAATGTTTATGATAAGCATATTTATTTTTGTTCACATAGTAGTGAAATCAATCAAAAATATTAACGTTTATTTTAAGTACAAATATGTTCAACTAAGCGTAAAATTATTTTTATTTTAAACATTGATATTACATGACTTCTAACATGGAATACGTTTGAAATCAACCTAGTTTATTTTTGTGGCCAGAACAATCTGAGTTCACCTTTAAACTTACCTCAAATAGTTTTGTTTCGGCGATGGATTTTTCTGAGTGCTTCACGCACAGGCTAACCGCACATGAAATTCGTTGGGCTCCAGGGGGAGGGGAGGTTTGGAAACCGACGACAAGATATAGGAGATACGTGTCGAAAGGGGGTGGGAGGGTGTCCGGATCCCTATGTAATAAAATCTTAACTACAATTATTTAAAAGTTGTTAATTTTAAGTAACCGTGCATGAATTATCAAGAACGATATCAACGCATGAAACACAACACAACACTAATCTACAGAAATAAATCCTTATTACGAATAGACTATGTACCATGTTACCGATTATGGTGTTCCAATTATAATATATGGGATTCTCATAGCCCATAATTGCGACACATCATAATATGAACATATAACTATAACTGGTATGATGATACGGCTATTGATCGCGTTCGGGAAATTAAATATCTTGGCGTGATTAGTGATGACAAACTTAACTTCAACTCTCACATTGACAATGTCATCAAAAAAATTGTCAAGAAGTATGGAATCGACATAGATGATTAAAAATGTTTTAACTATTGCCAGTCAAACACAGCTATACAATTCAATCATCTCTCCTCATCTAGACTTTTGCCAGACCCCCTTCACTCTTTGGATTTTTTAGAGACAGATAACAGCGCCAAACGATTTGTGACGAGACAACGTTGAACTGCAGCGTTGGAAGAAAACACGCATACCAACATATATACATACATGTACGAACCCACACAACTGAGCGGACGGTACAGTGCAAATCAAAACACGAAGCGGTGTCATCACTCATCACTCAGAGATTTGCATCTTACTGATACCGATGGTATATTGAAATCTCTTTCGCTCGAAAGCAAAACATATTACAAGCACATCATGATGCGCGCTTGGATGTGTGATTGTTTTCTCAAGTGTTTCTGTTGCGTATAAAGTGATAATGATTGAAAATCGGAACAATCACAAACAATTGTAATTAAGTAAGAATCTTGCTATCGCAATATAATCACCAATCAATACGAAACTATCGATTTTAAATTGGCTCACTAGTTGACTAGCCTATTGGTCCCAAGCAAACGATTAACGGACCCCATTCTAGTCGAAATTCTAGTACTACGCAATGTATGTTTTGATTCGCTATGAAAGTTTGGCAGATAAAATGAGGGGTGATTGGTTTTTCCTATGTTTCGAGGGGTGAATCGATTAGCTTGGGACCGAAGAGAGTACCAGAGCTGAGCCAAAAAGTTGAGCACGTTATTTCGGGACCTTCTAGTCTTAGAGTTACCTCTATGATATAATGATGATGACTTCGAGGATGATATCGTCCTCTTTTCTCGGCTGATCATCAACGTCCGCATTGACATCTATCATGCTGACACCTGTCAGTTATTGAGCCCAGGTGGTGTAGTTGGCGGGGAACTCCCAACAGTTTCAATGTGCACTCAACAGATGGCACTGAGATCACATGCGGCTGGTAATTATATGCCTTGTATGAGGAATTGATTAGTGGGATATCTTGTTAATTAGATATCTTTGCACAAATCTTTGTTCGCTGGTGACACAGACATTTCCGCTAAAGGAAGAAGTCTTCGTGTTATTTGCAGCAGACTGCAGAAAAGTTTAGATATTTTCTCTTCTTATTTACAAAAATGAAAGATTTCTCCCGACGCTTCCAAAACTCAACTTATAATATTTCCACATAAGCCTAGAGCTTCCTTTTTGAAACCTAGTAGAAGACACATAGTCACTATGAACGGAGTTCCAATTTCCTGGTCAAACCAAATGAAATATCTTGGATTAATACTTGACCAAAAATTAACTTTTAAAGATCACATTGAGGGCATTCAAGCCAAATGTAACAAATATATAAAATGTTTGTATCCTCTTATAAACAGGAAATCCAAACTTTGCCTGACGAATAAACTTCTAATATTTAAACAAGTTTTTAGACCGGCCATGCTTTACGCTGTACCAATATGGTCTAGTTGTTGCACTACCAGGAAAAAAAAACACTTCAAAGGATTCAGAACAAAGTTCTGAAGATGATTTTGAAGTTGCCTCCCTGGTACAGTACTATCTAGGTACATAAAATTTCGAATGTTGAGACTTTAGAAGAAATGTCCCACACAAAAATCGTTGCAATACTCAATTGCAACGATTAATTCCCTTTATACTTAGAAAAGATTTAGTTTTAGTTTTTAGTTTTAAGATTCCAATTGTTATACTGCAGGTTTAAAAAAACCTGTTTAAAATACTGAATTGCCAAGGCAGGATCAATGTAAAAACAGTTAGATTTATATCATATCAATTAAGGCTGGTAAGTTACTGTAGTAACTGGAACACCTAGGTTAAAATGAAATGTAATTTATTTATTTTCCTGTTCCCCTAGTTTGAAGTAGTTAGGACTAGGAATCGGTGGTAGATCTTACATCCCGTAACGTACCACGAAAAGGTGATCTACCCACGTTACGGGGCAAGGCCTTATCCTGATTGGTAAGGTAAGTAAGTTATAAAAAAAAGTAATTTTGAGTAGAGAACTGAATTTATCACTTGATAAACAAAAAAAAAAAAAAACAAAAAATAGAACATTGAAGCTTATATGGAAGATGCTTTATATTAGTAGTAAGTTTTCTGGCTGAATGTCGTGGCGTTGCTAGTGTATTAGAATTGTTTGTTGATTATTCATGAGCACTGGATCGCTGGGAATGCGTGAGTTGGACAAAAAAATTAACACAGAGCTGAACTGCCGTTATACGCATAATTGTCCCATGTTCTATGCAATTCTTATGCACCGTGGGACTCTTATGCGTATAACAGCAGTGAATGTCTAAGCTTTTTCACATTTATATCGCTGTGAAGCGACTGAAAAGTGTTGAGGGAATTTATATCTGTAACTGTAACCAACTCGTTTTTGTATGCTAAATATCTTAAAGATAAATTGTCCAGCTCATACCTTTGTAGGGGTAAGCGGTGAGACCATCATCATCAAAAAAGCACATAATAGAATCAATCCTGTCGGTAAAAAAACACAGAATCAGATGTGCAACAGATCGATACACTGGAAACAATCAGGAACGAACCGAGCTAGTTGATGTAAATGAGCGTAATATTGAATAAGGTTTTGAATAAACAACAAGTGAATCCAAGTGATGTTGAATAGAACTTTCAGACTCATGACCAGTGCATACAGAAGCATGTCATTGGAAGCTGTATGCGTAATAGCAGGAATATTTTTTATCACCATGATTGAGGACAATGAGTGCTTCAAGCCGAAGTAAAACAGAGGAATACGCAAAATAGTAAGGACTGAGTCGTTGAACAGATGGCAACAGGAATGGGACAGGATGAAGAATAATAGATGGACTCATATGCTAATACCTGCTGATACTTACCAACATGGTTGCTTCCACTCACTTGCTATAAAAAATGATTTAAGGAATTTTGGAATCATAAGATGTTATCATGATATTTTGTACTTGTTAGACACATAAAACCAGTCAAATTCACTTTCAGATAGTCACAATCACCGATTTTACGACTCGCGAGCGCTCACTCTGACTCTGAGTGAACGCTCACGAATAATAAAATCGCTGATTGTGACACTCTGAAAACAGACAGGTTTCATGTGTCAAACACATACTTTACAACCTCTAGAACAACAAAGCATAATAACATCTAATGATTTTATAATTCTGAAAACATTTTTTTATAGAAAGTGAGTGGAGGTAACCCCCAAACCTCTTGACCTGGTTAAACAGACAGCACGGAGAGCACAACCTCTACCTTACGCATTTGTTTATCTGGTGCTTCGAAATTATTTAGTTGAAGCTTGTTCAAATCGTATAAAAAAGTTTAACGATAACCAGAGAAAAACATACACATGAGTTGAGAAGTTGAGCTAGTAAACAGCTACTATGAACAGCTACTACACAGACAAACAGACATAACACTCGCAAGTTGTTCATCGAATAAGCATTTAACGGTCAATTTAAAAGGCGCGCATAGTCAATTCCCATGCGTTTGTCGTTTACACACTACCGCCATCTGTTCAGCATACTGCCCACCACAGTGTTTTCAACAGATAGCGGTAATGTTTTAGCGACGATGTTTTACAGTGAGAAATATTCAATGTGTTATGTCTGTTTGTCTGTGGCTACTATATACGGTTACTACCGAATTTGAGTCAATTTCTTATGTTTGGAAAATCGAATCAACAAAGTAGAATACTTACCAGAGAAAAGTAGAATACTTAAAAGACAATTTTTTTTTTTGAAAAAACTATATAAATTTGCAGTGATAATATTTGAAGCTCTGTAGACAGCAGCAACCGATAAAAAAGAGAAATTCTTCATCTCGTTTCGTTGAAATCCCTTCCAGTGATTTATGGTGCTCGAGCGAACGGGAGTTGATACAATTTATCGGATAATTTGTCACCAGTGACTTGCATGCGAGTGTAAGAAGGAAACCCGGTTTTTGTGCACGAGTACAGGGCGGTCTGCTTTATTTCGTTCCATTATTCATTGATTTCATGTTGTGCTTATACAAGTGGTCAATTTGTGAGAGTATGTTTTTACGATGATTAGCTGATTTTTACATGCTGGCTAAATGCTACTTTGGGATCATTTTACGAGACAATACTTTCAGACACGTTCTTCGTATTTTCCACCGTTTTAGTGTCATGTGTCAATTTTCATTAGATGTTGTCTAGAAGTGGGAGAGCTGTTTTTCAATTGTTACTTGTTTTGGCTGTAGGACTTTCTTTCCCCTCATATTCGGTATCGTTCATTGGCTTATCATCTAATCTTACCAGTTACACTTATCGATTAAAACCTTTCGCTCGGTTGTTAAATAAAATCAATACTACAAAACAAAAAGAAATCACAGAATGCAAATATTTTCTTACACCTTAATATGGTTATAAAAATACTGGAAACACTTAGACTTTCGTTGTTACCTTTTTGAGTGTGTGTTTTCGTTGTCTAAAGCTACAAAATTGAATTACAACAAGCAGTTGGCGCACATGTCATGGATGCAAATTCGATTTTTTGTTCGATACGTCATTCTAAACGGCACATTTACATGTTGAATCCATTGAGAACGTTTCAAAAATTACTTAAGTTATATGCTATCGTTAGGATTTGATTTCCATAAATATACAAAAGTTCGAGACAAAATGGCATTATCAGTTGGTGCAAAAATGGCTTTGTGAAAAATTACTCTAATCGCGAATGGCAATAATATACACTGATCAACTTATTTTAGCGTTCTGTTGCAACAAGAGCCGCAAGTTGGATGAAGGATTCTCTGACGCTGCGCTGTTCAATTGCAGATATATTCGTCCTTTCGTACATTGCACGTGTCGCACTTGACCGAACAGCACCAGACAAACTTGCAGTTGCACTTTTCCTCAACGTTTCGGATTCGTGTCTGATAGCCGCGACCACAGCACAGCAACCGGCAGCCTTCGATTCCGTATGATGTTCGATTGCAGAACCGGCCTCGCGTGCCGAATATTCCGAAGCTGTGAAATAAGACGAAGAGAAGGTTGCCGTTTTACTTACGCACTTAAAGGATTGATTTTTTTATGTGATAGTGGATATATAAAAGCATTTGCCCATCATTTGTTTTGATATGAACTAGGCACAGATAAAAGTTCTGAATGTTAATTGTGATGTAAACATTCATTCACGTAAACTTGTATTTCATTTCACCAACCGAGCAACTTGTAAACAATGTTCTTTACAAAGATGGGCTTTTGTATACAATATTTGCTACATTGCATGAAATGTCTCAGAAATTTACATGATATTGTAACCTCTACCGAGTTTCCAACCTGAAATTCAATGTTTTAGTGGTAGTTTTGCAAATATACACCATATTACAAAATTCAAGCTGAACATTGCATTAGGTCCTAAGTAGCATTGACAGATTCTCTTCGTCGACTTTCTCTTTGCATCTCCACGGCCATATAAAGACATCCCCAGGCATTTTCAGCACACATATCGATAAAAGAAGCTTTTATCTAGCATATAATACGACAAACACATCAAGAAACGGTTCTGTGATCAAGTTATTAACGAAAGAGAAATTTGACGAAGAGAATCGATCAATGTTACTTAGGACCTAATGCAATGTTCAGCTTGAATTGTTCGTAAATATAAATCACATGCAAGTTATGTTTTGGTTTATATAATTTAAAAAAATAAACTATTCAAGTAATTACTAAGTTTTCCATGGGATTTTCATATTATTTTAGTCTAGTAAAGTAACGCATCGTGACCACGCCGTGCTAGAAATAAAATTTCCAAAAACACGAGCATGATGACAACAATAAGGGATGTGCCGTCAAAATGGCACTATACGCAACTCTACAGAGACTGGTAGGAGATAGACAGGGTATTTTCTAAAATAGGTAGTCTAGCCACTCTTCTGCTCGAATGGTCATCGATAGCTACGAACGAAGCTCGGCTCTCCCACTGCCCGAATAACGTAGAGCGCGCAATACCCGAGATCACGATTCGTGCATCACGTGATCGTAGATACGATTCATGGATGAGGTGATCCTCATCCGATTTTGAATCTGCACCCACTGAGCTATATAAGCCCAGCTTCCCTAAGGATCGGTCTCTTTTTTCCTGGGAAAGCAACAAGTAAAGTTCGGTTATTTTTACCTAAAGTTTTTTTTTTTTTTCTAAAAAGTATTGCCAAACGTTAAGGAGATAGTCTCGCAGTATTATAGTGCTAATCGTATAGGAGTTTCGATTCGCACGTTAGTAGGACAGTTAGAGCTAGTGGCTAATTACAAAGGAGCTTTGTGCTCGCTAGGCCTAAGTGTTCAGTATCCCGAAACCACGTGAATATAGTAGAACAATCACCGTTGAAGAAAATCCGTGGTTCAGTGATAAGTGCTTCCCAGAGATCCGAACAGGTCCGTCCGTCACCATACGGACCTCTTTCACGCTTAATCAATTACGGCTTGGAATCAGACATACGGAGTCTCTGCTTCCTTCCACGGGATCTGTCTAACATACCCATCACTTCTAACAAGCAGTGCAGGAACACCCGTTTCCGCAAAAGGTGCTGAAATTCCCGTCCGGCATTGGAGCTGGAATCCGCAGCAGCAACGGTCAAAGGATTTGGCCACGGTTCATCGAGAGCAGCAGCGTCGGCAGAAGAGTGAGTCAAACTTTATCTTCTTTTCGTAAACCCTTCTGGTTGTAATAAAACCCACTTGAAGTCAACCTAGAATCTTTAAATTTTGAGTCGCGTTCATTACTTGCATGCACTGAACTTGATTACAGGTTGGGAACAAAAAAAAAAGGGTGAGTTTTTTCTAGCTATGGTGTGCCGACTCTGAGAGGCGTGAAAAGAGGTGTGCTAGCTAGCCGATAGTTACAATCTATAATGTAAACTTATATGATATGTAACGCTTCATTTATGTACATCATATTGAACAGAAATTTACACTACTTTTTCGAACTGTGTGTCGACTGTGCATTGATTTGCTTCGAGTGGCTTTTTAGTTTTGACACAATGAAACTTCTATTTTCATTCCATCTGGAACCTTCTTCAAGGACATATTTCTTATTTAAAAAAAAAATACTTGGTGGGACTGGGATGGCATGCGTTCGGGATGGAAAAAATAGATCGGAATAGACAGAAGGATAAACAGGGATGTTCAGGATATCTTGGAAAAAAATAGGATGCATTAAAATAGAAAAGGTATGATGTCTGGAATAAAAAAAAATCAAAAAATTTCTTTTCGTTGATGGAAGAGAATGCGGATTTGAGGATCAAATTGATGTGGAATTACGATGAATGAGGATGTGTCGTTCCCCATGATAATTACAGATTTGACAATCGCTAAACGAGAAAATGACCCAATTTCACAAGTGAAGAGGCCATTTTTACTCAAGGTTCTAGAGGTGCACTTTACACCTTGAGTATTAATTTGATTGAACGGTCTATTAAATCTTTATCTGACCCATACATTGAACGAAAATGACATATGTTTTCCCATTAAATGTAATGCCGCGGCTACACTTGGATGACAAACTGAGCATGAGCATTATTTGTATAATAATTATGTACTGACCCTTCACATCTGTGAATTCGACTCTGCATTTTTTCTCGACATGCTAGCAAAATCTAAAACAAAATGTAGAATATTTGGATACATCGCTCAAGTCAGATGGAATTTTACTGACCTGTATTTATTTAAACATAATTGAATACAATACCTCCTCCGACAAAGTACCTTTCAGCTAATCTAATAAATCCAAGGAATGATTATTCTATATGGGATCAATAATAAAACTTTCATGGCCACAATAATGATAATAATGGAAACAACAAACAACACGAATAAACGGTGTTCAATATAATAAAAATGACAATAAAGTGATTTTTTATAATGATAATGTAGAGGGATACACTGTGATTCTGCAATTTCAGGATTATTTTAAATTCTTTATTATAGGGATTTCTAGCCAATTGGCTAGTTCACCCTTGCTTTTAAGATTTATTTAAAAGACAGAATATTTCTGTATTGCTTCCGAATTGGGCAACTGAACCAACCTTTGCCGTATTACCCTCGCCTACTTCATTCAAGCATACTCCGGCAAGAGGTCCGAAACGTCGACTATTTGAAGATTTGGCAGATAGGACAAAAAGCGAGCGAAGTAAAATTTGGATGAAGATATCCCGGATAAAAATAACCATACAATTACAATAAAATATCAGTAAAATACAATAGATTATATTGTTGACCATATTGTAATTGTATTGTATTGGTCAAATGATCAAATAGTCACCGCAATAGGTTTACAATAAATTCGATGTTATCGAAATATTGAACAATAAGATTGATTGTAATGAGATCAAATTTGCTCGAGAAAAAAAAATAGATTATTTAAGGTTAACTAACAACCATCCTTTTCTATAGTAAAAGTCTCGTTTACAATAGATTCTATTGTACCTAACAATAAGTTCAAATGTATTTTTATAAATTTTTACTATAAGATTTATGGTTGCTACAATAAATATTATTGCATTGTAATCATAGGTTCTAATATTTTTGTATGGTCAATTTTTATTCGGGAAGAGCCTCTAAAGAAACTCGTGTGGTCTGATGAAAAAGCTGCTCGCCGTTATAGGTTACCAAAAACTGCTAAAGTGCTCCGAAGAATATAACTAATGGAGAAGCTGCTGCTTCTAAGATGCTGGAAGGATCTCTTAAATCAAAGAATATATTGGAGGCATCTGCCGATGCATCACTGTTGCTTAAAACGCGCTTAGGACTGAGCAAAAGGAAATTCCAGAGAGTTGAGAAGTTTACGAAACAAGTTTGCGGTGCTAAATTACTCCAACTTTGGGCTAAAGTAATTGAACATCGTAACAACATAATACCTAAGATTTACAATTCATCTTGGGACGATGGCATCCTTTCTGCTCACGTTACGCTGCGTGAATGCAAAATGTATTTTGCATTCTCGGCAGAAGTTGATTCAGCGACAGATTTCTTGCATTACAACCCAGCTAAGATTTTGAAAAAGGACGATTTGCTGCTCACCGAACATGTGATGCCACTTATGCTGGTAGAAAATGGGAGTCAGCGATTGTGTGAGAACCCCAACCCGCAATCCGATACCTTTTGCCACGCAAAATCTATGAGCTTTTAATCATGAGTAATATTGGAGTTAATTTTGAGTAGCTCTGAGTAACTCGAGTTGCTCATTATTGAATGCACGGTAGCACAGCAACCTGTTTGTGTACGTGTTTGTTTCCTAAATGTCGCCGTCAGATGTTTGGCGAAGCAAACATTTCAGAAGTTTCAAACCCATCAACATCCATTGACGTATCATACTGGATCACTATCCTCAAATCCCTTAAACTTTGTACATTTTTGTTAAACGTTACTAAGTAGTGTTCACCTGAATTGAATGCAGACAATCATCATTCAATTATCACCATCAACATGGAGAAGATTCACGCTAAGATGCACATACCTAAAAGTCGGTAAAGAATACCTAGATATCGGTAAAAATTACCGATAATCGAAAAAAGTGCACATACCTAAATTATCGGCTATTATGGATTACCAATAATTAACGTTAAAACTGTCCTAATTTATAGTAAAAAATATCCAATTTAAAGTAAAAAGTAACGATTTTTATCGGTAAAAATAACCGATAAATATAGGTAATCGTAGCTTAGAGTGTTGCATTCGTAATAGAAATCCAAGCATTTTAACGTCTCTAAGAATAGTAAATTAAATTGTTATAATATCTTTAACAGAGTAACATAAAAAAATCTTTGTTTTATTCTAGGTAATGCTCCTGGTTATATTTTTTAACATAGATTTAGCCTTTCCATTGAAAATCGTTTAAAAAATGTTGTAGGCAACCCGTTACTTCTCTAGTATAACATCATGTGGTATCATCACGACTAGAGCTTAGTGGTACTAAGAAAATAACCTTTGTATTTATTTAGGAATGCCTGATTCACATCTTGGATTCACAT